CACACACACACACACACACAGACACACACAGACACACACACACACACAGACATATGCAAAAACCCACCTGAAGGCGCATGCTGGGGAGAAGTAGAGGCAAAGAGGTCTTCATCCTCAATATCAGATATTTGTGGAGATATTTGTGGAGACATATGTGTAGCTGAGGACATAGATGGTAGCTCATCCTGAAGGGTCGAGACCATTCCAGAAGAGGCCTGTGTAGCGGGGGAGGTGGGTGGCTCATCCTGACCAGTGGCAGAGGATGCTCCAAAATATGTTAGAAGTGCCCCTGAAATTGCAATTGAATTGCAATTGAAATTGAAATCAAAACCGTAGGATTCTGTTTTATACAGCTAAAGCATAATAGGAGGGTTACATAAACATGCCCTTACACGCTAAATGTCTGTCATTACACGCTATATCCTCCTGAGACCCAGAAAAAAAAAGTTTTTTGAATTTAGTTTTTTTTTCATGTCATCACATTGTTTAGAGCATAAGAAACAAATGGTAAAAAAATTTTTTGAAAAATGATATTTTATTCATATGTTATGCTATGTCCTCTGTAGTGGACACTAGGACTCAGTTGTTTAAAAAATAAAATGACATGAATGTATAAGCATAGCAAGCATCATAGCAAAAAGGCTAACAGACTTAAGAGTTATACCCACCAATGAACATTAGCCCTTCATTCATGACATGGATACCGTAATAATCATACAGATAGAACATAGTTGCATACCTTTATCTTTTGCTCGTTTCTCCTCTTCCTTTTCTTTTTTTTCTAAATTGGGCACCTGATGGCTTTGACCTTTTCCTGTCCATCTCTGTGTTTATTTGGCACTCGACAATCAACAGATTTCCCATCCCCCCAACACCGTCACTCACGACCAGAAGTCAAGACTAAACCAATTCACCTTGGTGACCACATAATCGTTTTGTATTACCTATTTTTATTAGCCATTTCACACAATTCAGAAAAACAAAAATGTGCAGGAACTATAGGCCTGTCCGTTCCATTTGAGAGAGACGGTACTTCCTGTGTGCATTAAAAAAAAAAAAAAAACTTTCACTGCTGGGTCTGACTGTTAGGTGATGAATCTGAATCTGCTACAATCAGGAAGACGCTTCCGCAGTCTGATGGCAAAAACGGAGAGGCTCAGTAGGAGCTTCTTCCCTCACGCTATCAGAAGATTAAACATGGACATTAAACACACTGCACTTTAGAGACTCTGGTAGTGTAGGGTTACTCAATAACTCTCTGCACACTGCACTTTTTGTATTTTTTAGATGAGCTGGCTATGCAACTCATCCTCACTGCACATTGTTTACATCTCTGCACATCATCTGTGTAGCATCTCTGCACATCATCTGTGTAGTAGTTTAATATATTGTGTATATTAAATTTTTTGTATTTAATTTTCTTCTTATTTTTTTGCACAGTCTATAAAGAGTATGCCAGACCTACATTTCACTGCTTGTTGTATGTTATATAACTTGTATGTGACAAATAAAATCTTGAATCTTGAATCAGTCACTCAGCTCATAGCTTTTGCCAGCTTTGAGACACTTGTTTGCCAAGTCCTGTTCAATGAATCTTAGACTTAATAGTTCATCTCAAAAATGAAAATTCTGTCATCATTTACTTACCTTCATGTCATCCCAAACCTGTATGAGTTTCTTTCTTATTTTGAACATAAAAGAAGATATTTTGAAGAATGCTGGTAATCAAACAGTTGATGGTCCCCCTTGACTTCCATAGTGGAAGTCAATGGGGACCAACAACTGTTTGGTTCTTCAAAATTCTTCAAATTATCTTCTTTTGTGTTCAATAGAGGAAAAAAAACTTATATGGGTTTGGAACGTCATGAGGGTGAGTAAATTATGACAATTTTCATTTTTGAGGTGAACTATTTAGTCTAAGATTAATTGAATAGGCTAGAACAGGCTATAGATCAAAAGATTGCGTTTCTAACTTTGTGGGTGTTTTTAAACTGGTGGGTGTTTCTATCATGCAATGAAAATGATGCCCCTTACCTGACCCTACCCCTAAACAGTACTTGTCACTGTGACGTGAGCCAATCAGGTAACATGGTTGAAGACCCCCCTCTGTTTTGGCGTCGCCCACCGATCTGGAAATTCCCATTATTTTCCTGCAGAGACAAGACTGAGGCTGCGTTCCTCTCCATTTTTAGACATGCACTCGCAAACTTATCTGAGCACTTCCCATACGGGAATCTATTTTGAAGTGCGTAAATAAATAAAATGCAACTGCATATTTTCCAGCTTACGAAACCTTTTGAGTCTCAAATACTAAAAAATACAGTTTTCTTGAAACTACATAAAAATCCTTGTTAGACCAACAGAATTGAACATAAAAACCTTTGTCAGACCCCAAATGTTGTCCCAACTAGTCAAACAGAGTTGTCTGAACAAAGAATTTTATATTGCTGAAATGTTAAGGCTTTGTGAGTTCCCAGCATGCATTGCAGCATGAATAAATTATGCAGATACTGTTATAGGGTTATTGTTTTGCTTTTTGCTGGCTTCATTTAAACTTTTTCGTTGTTGTTTTGTCATTATTGTTAGTTGTTTGTTGTGTAGTGATTTAAAGAGATCATCTTTTTTTACATTTGTTGATTGCCATCGTTCTTGAGGCTTGTGTGTCAGGTATTGAGGCCTAGAGTATGTTCAACCACTTAAATCTATATTCTGGATATCTTAGTCTTGTAGGATGCTTTATAAACAAAGACAATATTGTTCATCATGGTTTATAACATTTCATTATATTCTTGATACCATCATTATAATTTTAATGACATAAACTGATATAGAAATAAGTCCTAGTGTGTCATGCGTAAATAGACATAAAAATGTAATGTGGTGACTATT